AATCCCACAGACATGCTCACAGGCTAAACTTATCCAGGCAATCTCTCATTGGTACTTTCCCAGGTGGATTCTGTGACGTTGACATTAAAACTAACCATTACCTTGCCATTCGGAGAGGAGGAAGCATTTCTGTTGATCTTAGACCAGCCTGTGCATGGAGGAGTCATTTGTTTACCCTCATCTAGGTCCCTGCAGCCTGCAGGGGGACAAAGGCACACCGGAGAGCTTTCCTTTTCAGTACTGGGGGCAAGGTGAGCTGTTCTAGAAAGGTATTTGGAAAGGGTGTTAATACTGATTTTCAAGTGGAGGGGCTCTGGAGTCACTAGGGGACAAACCTTTGGGCATGGCTGTAGATGTAACCAACCGTCTTATTAAATAAGAAACACAGAGCCGATTCAGAGAAGAAAGCCAAGAGGTCAGAGCTAAGAGCCTCACCCTTCCTGATTCAGTGATCCTCTTCAGCCAAGAGAGCTCTCTGAAAAGGGACCTACTTCCTGTGTGTATGTCTTTATATAGTCTAGCTGTTCTGCCTTCTCATTGGTTGTAAACCCAAACACATGACTGCCTCGTCACTGCCTGTATGTACCGCCCTCCAGGTCCTTAAAGGCGTGCGCCACCGCTGCCACGCACTTGCTATGGCTCTAATAGCTCTGACCCCCAGGCAACTTTATTTATTAACATACAATTAAAATCACATTTCAGTACAAGTAAAATACCACATGGCCATGAGACAATTTCTCAGTTGGGGTAACTGAGATGTGAGGCCCCACACTAGCGGTGGGCAGCACTGTTTCATGGGCTAGAGTCCCAGACTGAAGAAGAGAGAAAAAGGGAGCTGAGCACCAGCATGCCTTGCTCTCTGCTTCCTGGCTGTGTATGCGACGTGACTGGCCATCTTACCTCCCCTCTGCCATGACGGACTGTATGTACTCTCTCAACCTGTGAGTCCAAATCAACCCTTACTCCCTATTCAAGGCTCCTGATTCACATCCCTAAGTGTGTCCAAAGGTGTCTAGCTTCCACACTCCTCACGGATCAAGGATGCTGTGGCCCCTCACTGCACTGCTTGCAGCTTTCCAAGCAAGTCCCATGTCCAGACTCCTCCACTGGGCTTTGTCCTGCCAGCCCCAAGCCTCTGCAGCCCTATTCCCTGGAACTCTGAGCTAGCATTCTCCATAGCTGCCTAGCCTTCCTCTGCCTGTCTGGTGAAAACAGCCACACAGGGAGCCCGATTTACCAAGCCTTGTGTGAGTTCTGAGAAGCTAATAGGTCCCCTGGGGTTGGTGGCTGATGCAGAAGCTGACAAGGGAAGGCATCCTGAGCTGGCAGTTGGTACTAGAGTCAAGAGCGGGCTGGATGAGCCAGGCTGCAAGATACTGCTGGATTGCCTTGTGGGTCCTTGGGAACTACAGAGGCTATCCTGATGAGATAGAATGGTTCCTGCCCCAAGCTCCAGCCAGTACTGACGTCCGAGTCTACATTCATTGGTACTTGGAATCAGAGTAAGAAAGAAGAAATGGCCATCTATTAGGACATCGTAGGGGCTGGTGACTTTCAGGCCACCTCTCATTCACTCTACCCACTGGTACCGGCAGCAAGATGCTATTTATAGGCTCATAGGCTGCAACCCAGAGAGGTCAAGCAGCTGGCCCAGGGTCACACAGCTGTGGGGCAGAGTTTATCTTCTCACTTTCCTGCATTTGAGACCTCAGCCAAGGAAACTAAAGGCAGGAGTTGGAGCCCCCTTGTCTGGGGGGCAAACACAGGGTTGTGTTTCATGCTGCCATGTTGAGACTGGGAGAAGACCTACCTGCACACCACCTCCTCAACTCTGCCTTTCTGTAGTCTCAGTCACGGCAATCCCTTCTGTTCAAGAGAGAAGAGAATCCTCCAGCAGAAATCAATAATACATGAACCATCGCTGCTGTCAGGGCAGAGCACGATGTTTTTAATGCTTCTTAAAATTCAGCATTAACAAGCCTTCTAAAGGCTGGAAATATTTGAATTAGGGGAAATGAATGTTTTATGAGCTAAGAGGGAAACATAACCTCCCAAGGTTGGTCGAGGGGTGGCTGAGGTTCAGGGCAGCCTTGGATTAGGAAGACCCAGGTCTCTGGAGTCTCTGAGCCCCAGGACACTGAGAATCACAGGGACTGTGTTCAGGCAGAATTCGATTCAACCAAGGTCTCAAAATGGTCTCCATCCATGCCTGGGAGGCAGTAGCCTTGTGTGTCCAGGTCTTGACTCGGTTCTGACCTCTTGGAACCTGCTTCTCCAGGGTAGTCAGGCTGTTCCTTTCCACATGGCTGTAGGCAGCCACCTTCTGTGGGAGATTATGTTATTATTGCTCCACGAGTATTTATTGTTCCCTTGTATGCTGGCTAGTCTTACGTCCACTTGATACAGGCTAGAGTCTTTTGAGAAGAGGGACCTTCAACCAGCCTGTAGGTAATTCTGTAGTATATTTTCGCACAAGTGAGGATTCAGCTCATTTTGCTCATTGGTACCACATGTCTTTCAGGTTCTAAGTCCCTCGCCCCCTGTCCATAGGTGATGGCATATGGAGACAGCTTGTGCCCACTCAATTCCACAGCCTGTAGCCTTTGTTACGATGGTCCATTGGCTATCTTGTGCCGTTATTGTTGGCCCTTGCTGACTCTCTGGGATGCCAGAGGTCAGTCCACTGGGCCTTATACCTCATTGTGGAAAAATGTGCCTATGGCCCTCTGCCCCCACCACTGCCACCGACCCATGGCTTGGGTTTGTTCCCCTGTGGCTGATCGCACTATGCTGCAGCCCAGTTGGGGGGCATCCCTCTCTCCCACCTGGCTACACTGCTACTTCTCTGTCTTTCTTTCACAAAGTTTATTTCCTATGTGCGAATGGAAATGTATGATTGATATAGCCATCTATATTTCTTTCTGACTGACTTTTCAATGCTTCAATTTTTACGTTCCTTATCTGCTTGGCTTATTTAAAAAAAAAACCACATGAACACGTGGTGAGGTGCCATATTTGATAGAGGTGATAATGTGATCAAGTGGCATCATTTTAAATAAGGACAATCATGTGATCAAGGCGCCATCTTAAATAAGGGCAACCACATGGTCTAGCTGCCATCTTGGCTAAGGTCAAAACATATGACCTGCTGGTCATATGACCTCACCTCCATCTTTACTAAGGACAGCGTGGGCGGGGCACCCAGCACTCAGGCCATCGGTATGAAGGGAGGTTGGGGAATTGCCTCCCACCACGCATTGTTTCATCATCATTTTATAGGCCAAGGAAAAGTCCTCCGGCCTTGGCCTGGCGTTCCCTAGCTGCCTCTCTCAGGCTCAAACTGTCTGGGTGAGACAGATGTCCAGTTGTGGCTTGTCATTAGTTCCTACACAGCTGCTTGTGTGGGTGGGGCCCGGAGAGGTATGTGCTCCCCTCTGGGGCATCAGAGGAACCACATGCAGGCAGTATCATTATATTAAGATTTTAAATTTCAGATTTTAACATTAATACAATTCTGATACACTTTGGGTCACAAGCTCGGGATTTTAAATTTTCCTTGGCTACTCATTACCTGCTTTTCTACTACCTAGATTTCAGCACTGATTGATACAACTAATTTATCTAAAACTTTTATTTTTTCTTCACTTGTCTGTTCCTAAGGATGATATTTTTTCTCTCTTCTGGTCTTGGGACTCCTGCTCTTCCCAATTACTAAGACCATGGGCTAAAAGGCTCCAAATAAATTCATAAATTTTAACTCCTGTCTCTAGTCTGTATTTTAGCAGGCTGGCAGAAACGTCAGAGCAGCAGTGTGGACCACAACCTGCAGCTCTTTCCCTGCTATGGACGCCAGCGAAGACTCTTGTCTATGTGATGTGGACCAGCCCAGCCCAACGTAATTATTCCCTGCCTCTACATCCAGGTCAGATAACCACATGCTTCTGACAAATGCCCCATTGTCCAGCCTTTGACAGACCTTTCAGCCTTTTGGGGGGGCCCTGACAACAACGCTCCAATGCCAGCTCGAAGCAGTTCCAGAAGAGACTACATCGTCCCGTGTTCCCTGTCCAGAGTAGGCTGAAATGCTGGGTCAAAAGGAAACCCCCTGGCATAGAGGACCAATTGGCTATCTAATGTCCATTGATATTTATTAATTAAAATAGTTCTGCAACAAGATGGGACACTTGACCTTCTTTATGCAGAACCAGGGAGGTGTTATATGACCTTAAAAAATAATTATTTCTATATAAGTCATTCAAGATTATAATCTGGCTGTACTCAAAGATCAGAACTACAGCTACAGGGCCTTGAAGGTGGTAATAGATTCAGATATCACTGCCAACAGCTTAAAAAGTGTCTCTCCTTACTCAAGGTTTATTCGGATTAAGGAATGTGAGCCTCCCTGTCCTTGCTAACTTCATTAAGCTGTAACTAACTGGGAAACCTATATATTCATATTTAATTATATATATGCTCTCAAAATTAGAAATATATCTAGCAGATTTTGTTCCCTGAGTCCTCAAACACCTGTAGAGATCTGAAAATATGGCATTTAATATAAAAGTTTTTTTATGATAAAGAGACATGTCATCTCCTGGCAGCATCCCGTATCTCCTCCAAGAAGATGGATGGCTGTAGAAGAACTTCCACCCAGAAGCTCATGACAAGGCTGGCCATGCAGTGAAAAGCTGATCCTGTCCAGACTGTGAATAAGAGAAGCAACAGGGATCGGTTGTCCTCTCTGTCAAGACAGGTAGGATGACCTCCCCAAATTTCTGTCATACAAAAAAAAATCTGCCAGATCTTCTGGGCTTATCAGCTGAACAACTGCTGCCTTTGGGGCTTCTGTGCCCCAGTGACCATGGAGAGACTTGGAATCGCTGCCTAGGAAGATGGAAAGCTGTCTCACTTCTTCTTGAATTTATTCTTCTCAGATCTGATGATGTTTGATGACTAGGGTGTATCAGATTAACAGCCCCAATCCCAAGATTGCAAGCACCTTGATAGCTCATTGATAAGTTTCTTGTTGAAATTATAGACAGGGGGGGTCGGCGTGCTGGTCTGGAACATGGCGGCGCGGTCGTTGTGGGCGGTGCAGCGACTGCAGCGCCTCCTGGCCTCCGGGACCGCGTCGCAGAGCCGGGGATGGCTCCACCCATTCAGCACCGCCACCCCAAGAACGGCTGGGGAAGACTGCAGTTCTGAGGACCCTCCTGATGTACTCGGTCCCTCCCTTGCTGAACAAGCCTTAAGGCTAAAAGCTGTTAAACTGGAAAAAGAAGTCCAAGATTTAACACTAAGATACCAGAGAGCTGTCGCTGATTCTGAAAATGTAAGGAGACGAACCCAGAGATGTGTGGAAGACGCCAAGATATTTGGAATCCAAAGCTTCTGTAAGGACTTGGTGGAGGTGGCAGACATTTTGGAGAAGACAGCTGAGTGCTTTTCAGAAGGAGCCAAACCTGAGGACCACAAGCTTACTCTGGAAAAAGTCTTTTAAGGACTGTCTCTTTTAGAAGCAAAGCTGAAAAGTGTGTTTGCCAAGCATGGCCTAGAGAAAATGACGCCCATTGGTGACAAATACAGCCCTCATGAGCATGAACTCATCTGTCACATGCCAGCAGGTGTTGGGGTACAACCTGGCACTGTGGCATTAGTACGACAAGATGGCTACAAACTTCATGGCCGCACCATTAGACTTGCCCAAGTGGAAGTGGCAGTGGAGTCTCAGAGAAGGCTATGAACAAGCCACAGGGAATTAAAACTCTCCCAGGGTCCTGGCACCTCTGTCCCCTTTATTTATTAAGCTGGTTTGTATTATACATGAGGTCCTTCGTGTGCTCTGCTTTGGATTTAGTCATATTGGCTTTATCTCTACAGTATCTTATTGGTTTTATGTGACCTGTTTGGTCTCATCAGAAGTCCTGCCACTGGGCATCTGAACAATGTGACGAGTGTCCTATGGCCTTTATCAAAATGTTTACAAAAATCATTTAAATTGGTACTCTGATGACTGAATCCAAAATCCCTTAACTGTGTTTTCAACTAATGACTGGAATTAGTGTAGCAGCATCTTGGGTCTTGTATCTTATGGGAAAGGGAGATGGTAGGGATTGGTTTGACATTTAGGTCCTTAGATGACAAAGCTTTACCTTGTATAAATTTAGATCAGTTGGCTTGACTTCTACAGAGAGTTTTCAAGGCTGCTTTTCTATTTCATTTTTCATTTAGTCATCTTTTGTACTTGTATTCCCTGCTAGGGGCACACTTAAATTGTTCCATAGCCACCCCTTTCTGGTCCCATTTGGAAGGGCTAAAGAGTCAGACCAGTCTTCCTTTTTTTCTTGTTGGTAAGGTGTACTCTATTATTAAACTGGTCTCAAGTCTATGAACAGGTAAGCTCTGGCTGCCTCGACAACACAGCCCACTCCCAGGGAGACCAAAAGCCTCCTTACATCTCAAGTTAGAGAGTCAGGGATGGGGGGCCAGGCATAGTGGCTGACCATTCAAAATGAAAAGCAAAGGATTGGGGTGGGTGATTTTTTGCAGTACATAATTTACACAAAAGCAGTGCTGCTGCCTCCCTTGAACGCACTCAGAGTGAACTGGGCCATCCTTTCCGTAGGGTGTGGTGCTGCTCTGGAGAGGACAAGGGACTTCCTGTAGCAACAACAAAAATGCACTCAAAGTCCTCAGCCACGTTGTCACATTGTAAAACTTGGGGGATGCTTACCCCAATCAGCTGCTGTCACCTTCGCCATTCCAGTTTTTAAATCCTGAGTCAAAAGCACCCCCCCCCAAAAAAAGATTATATATTTATAATTGACAAAAAGAAAAAAAAGAAATTATAGACAGGTATGCATCATTCACAGACTTTGTGGTACAGTATAGTCTTGTTTCAGATATAACTCCAGAGGTTCAAAGTTTTAATATTGATAAATGCAGCTTTGCTAAACTGATAGAACAGTGACTACAAGGAGTTCCTAAAAGTCCTTAAATGAATTTTTAACCCTTTTGCCATCATGTAAATCCATTCCAGCTGTCTTACAGATACCTACAGGCTCCTGGGAAAAGTTCTGCTACTGTATCAAGAGACCTGGTTTGATGAAAAATTGACAGTCTCCAGAGCCCATTTTGACCTCACCCATTTTTAAGCATATTTTGCAGTTTCATTATTCCTGCCTGACCACCAGAGAAATAGCAGATGCCATGGCTTCTCTACTCCTGATTTGGCATGCCATTTCCCCCCAAGTTCCTGGAACACCACTGCTGCAACCTGCCTCCTCAGCTCCCTCAAGGAACATTCCTGAGATCTTCTGCCGTGCGTGACTCCCGGTTCCCCCCTCCCTACTTTGCCCCTTGTCAGCTTGAAGTAGCCTCGAGAATTCAGTGCCCTTGTCCCCCCACTTGCTTCCATAATTCACCTCTTTTTATAATAATCAAAATGGAGGAATGTTAATATTCTGACCCACCCCCTTGAAATCCGACCCCCTTGGAGTCACCCTGAGTCTGGACAGAAAAGCCTCATCCTAAGGAAAAACTCCTCCCCTTCCTCACTCTCCCTCTCTTCTGCTTTTCCTCCCACAAGGTGCACCCCCTCTCTGTCTCTCTCTTTCCTATCTTTCTCTTCATCTTTCTATTATAATAAACTCTCCACATGGAAGCAGCATCTGGGTTGTGAATTACTGGCCACCACCGCCATGCCCAAATGGTGTGCATCTGCCCAGCCTGCCACTGCATCTGCCTAGCATGTTTCCCTGCATGCTCGGGATACCCTCAGAGGTCCCCCCACACAATAATCCATAACAGCTCTGACTTCCCTGGATGGTGGAATACAAACTGTAGTTTGAAATAAACCCTTTCCTCCTCATGTTGCTTTTGGTCACGGTATCTATCACAACCGTGAAAACCCTACCTGTATTTGTTACTTTTCTTGTTGTTGGACAAAACCCCTGACAAGAGTAACTGGAGGAGGGAAGGGTTTGTTCCGGCTCACAGTTTGAGGGGACAGTCCATCACGGTGGGGAAAGACATGGAGGCCAGTGCATGAGGCACCTGGTCACACTGAATCCATCAACAGAAAGTGGAGAGACAGATGAATCCTGGTGCCCAGCTTGTCTTCTCCTTTTTATTCGGTCCTGGACCCCAGTCCACGATTGTACCACTCCTGTTCAGAGAGGGGTGGCCCTCCTCAGTTAAACACAGACACACTCAGGGACGGGTTTCTATGACGACTCTAGATCCAGTCAAGATTCACCATCACTGCCCTCCTCTCTGTGCCGGCGGTGAGTCCTTGCCCCCTGTAAAGAAATGTAAACCCTGGGAAGAGTGCCACACCCTGCCTGGCGCCTGTGCGACCCGGGTGTCTTAGCTCGAGTTTCTGTTGCTGCGATGAAACCAACATGACCAAAGCAACACGGGAAAGAAAGGGTTTATTTCACTTGTGCTTCTGCATCACAGTTCATCCTCGGAGGACGTCAGGACAGGAACTCAAGGAGTTAACCAGGAGCCAAGAGCTGATGCAGAGGCCGCGGAGGAGTGCTGCTCACTGGCTTGCTCCTCATGGCCTGCTCAGCTGTCCTTGTAGAACCCAGGACCACCAGCCCGGGGTGTCCCCACCCACAATGGGCTGGGCCCTCCCACATCAATTACTAATTAAGAAAATGCCCTTCAGGCTTGCCTAAAGGCAATCTAATGGAGGTATTTTCTCAATTGAAGTTCCTCTTCCCAGGTATCTCCAGCTTGTGTCAAATAGACAGAAAAGAAAAGAAACATCAGCACACTGGGTCCCCTGCTTAGCCTTTGCAGGCTGGTGACTTCACAGGGGTCATACACTGACAGGTAAGAGCAGTTTATTACCCAGAATTCTCTCAGAAATGTGAGCATTCCCTCCCTCCCTCATACTTCTGTCCCCACATCCCCCCACCCTGTTGGAAATATTATTCTGCATTATGAAAGCCCTTTCCAGTATCAAACCTTGTCCTTGGCTCCTTCTGGGTTGGGAGCTTGTATTTTGGTAACCATTGATTGGAAGTGGAGTGGGGGAGGGCTTCAGCCAGAAAAAGCGAGTATGAATTAGTTACCCTTTCAGACTGATTACATTTGATCCAGCAGTACAGCAGTTTGGGAATATCCATAAAGGAGAGCACACACAAGAGGCGGGACGCATGTCCATCCCTCTGTACACACTGCAGATCTCATCCCGGCAACCTAAGACTTTAGAGCAGGGAGAGAGCATGCCAGCAAACCACTGTTCTATAAAATAAATGATGATATAAGTGGTAAGGTGTGGATGTGGCTTACTGGGCACATGGGAAGGGCACCAAAGAATTCCTTTTTTTAGAAATTGGTGCAGATACCAATGGAGACATGCTGCTTGCTGCCTTGCTTCCAGGCTTGATTTTGGTTACCGCTCTTACACAGCTCATACCAACTTGTCTAGGGATTGTGGGCTGGGCGCTCCTCTATCAGTCAGGCCGGTCTGATGGAGGCAATTCCTCCGCTGACATTCTCTCTTCCGGGATGAGTCAAGTTGGCAACAGAAGGTAACTGTGACAGGTGTCTTCTACCCCTCTCCACCTATTGTTTTTTGAGACAGAGTCTCTCACGAAACCTGAAGTTCATTGATTTATCTAGGCCGATGGCCAGGGAGCTCTGGGGATTCTCCGGTCTCCACATGCTGTCATGCTCAGATTGTACATGGGTCCTGGGATCTGAGTTCAAGTCCCTGTGTCTGTGCAGTGAGTGCATTTGCTGACTGAGGCACACCGCCCAGCCCCCAGTTTTATCTGTTTTTCTTTAAGTCAAGATCTCATTGTGCTTATAAGGTAGTGACCAGACTGGCCTTGAATTCACTAATAGCCAAGGATGACCATGAACTCCTGATCCTCCTGCCTCCATCCCTTGAATGTTGGGATCACAGACGTATGTTTATCTTTCTTTCTCGTTCTCTGTTGCTTTTTCAACTCCCTGACCGAGGTTCAGACTTAGATCTGATTCCCAACCTCAGGTTTATCACTTGCAGAGTAGGGCGAGTAGTCCTGTTAGTGTGAGGCTGAGGGGCAAGCGGGGTCCGTGAACAGCTAGTGACAGAGCTGTGACCATTTTCTTCCCTCTTCCTTCTCTGCTAGCCCTCCTGCCGTCCATCATGCTCACATAGGAGACTCACGTGTCTTTCCCAGCTTCTCATTCCTCACAGAGCATCTCTCCCTGAACACATTTGTCACTCGATAAGGTCCTGACAGCGGATGTCAGTGACTTAATGGCAGATTAATCGAAGATCCTGTGTACAGCTCCTCAACTACAACCCTGTGTGCCTTTGACCTACAGGCCTGTGCCTTAATTAAAGCAATTAGTGGCAGCAGTCAGTGACAGGCCAGTGTTCTCAGGCCTCTGCCAGTTTCACACTTGCCTGCACTGAAGGACAGGGCCAGCTGTCCACACCTGGTGCTCATAGCAGAGCTGGGTTCTCACCTAAGTGACTGACTGATCACTCTTGGAGGTAGAAACTGAATCCTGCCAGGCAGGCAAAGCGAGGCAAAATGAACATTTGGGCAAGTCAGGGACTGTCTCTCTGTCTGTCTATCTATCTATCTTCTCTTCCCTCCCTCCCTCCCTCTCCCTCTCCTGCCCTCACCCTCACCCTAGCCCTCTCTCCCTCTCTCCACTGGCTTTCTATTTTTCACACCAGTAACTGGGCCACAGTGACCTCCTGTCTCAGCCTCAGCCTCCTGGGGCCGAGCCACGTGCTCCCTGCCTGCATCCCTTTGCCCTGGTCTCTGCTCCCTCCTGAGGACAGCTCAGGATAGTGACATCATTAATAGCTGGGATAAGCTAAAGGCTCTGCGCGGCATTTAGAGGGTATTCTGAAAAGAAGACAGGGGTGGCTAACACTCAGCTTCACCAGCCAGCAAAGGACACAAATGAAACACCCCCTCATGCCTGCCAAAACAGCTATCCTCAAAAGGATGAAGTGGCCAGGTAGGGTGCATACCCACAATCCCAACACTTGGGAGGTAGAGGCAGGAGGATCAGAAGCGCAAGGCTAATATCAAGCTACAATTTGGGTTCCAGGCCAGCCTGGCTTCCTGAGCCCCTTCCAGAAGAGGAAGAGTGTGGATCATCACAGGCTGTGGGTGCAGAGACAAGGGAACGCTCGCACTTGGGGGGTGGGAAATTGAATTACACAGTCACAATGAAAGCGTGGAGGTTCCTCAGCAAGTTCAAGCTACAGTCACCACGTGGCCCAGCAATTCCTCTAGTGAACAGAAAGAAAAAGAAGTTAACATGTTGAAGAGACATCTATACTCAATGTTCCCTGCAGTACCATTCAAAGAGGCCAAGATAAAGAATCAACCTCAGTATCCATCAACTGAGGAGAAACAGGATATGAGAAAGAAGACACACGTGCAAATGGAATACTGTTCTGCCTTCAAAAGGAGAGGAATCCTTCCATGGATGAAGTCAGGACAGCGGAGTAAGCCAGGCATAGAAAGACAAATGCTGCAAGCCTCACTCGTGCAGAATCTGAGGACTGATTCCAAGCCAGGCATGGAGGCGCGGGCCTGCAATCACAGCATTCAGGAACCTGAGGCAGCCACTGAGAAGACTGAAGAATGTTGGCCAAAAAGATTGCCTCTATCTGAGAGGTCTATTGCATAACATGGTGATTGTAGGCAAGAAAATACTGCATAATCTGTTTTATAGTTTACTTATTTATTTATTTATTTGTGTGTGTGTGTGTGTGTGTGTGTGTGTGTGTGTGTGTGTGTGTGTAGGCATGTGCAGGAGCCACATGTGGAGGTCAGAGGACAATCTGTGGGAATCAGTTCTCTCCTTCTACCATGTGGGTTCTGGGAATCAAACTCAGGTTGTCAGGTTTGGCA